GCTCTGTCACCCAATCCCAGCTTCTGGCAAACAGAGGCTATGGACACCATTCCTGCCCATCCTGGCTAATAGCCATTGATGGACCTATCCTCCATGAATCTATCTAGCTCCCTTTTGAACCCCTTTATAGTATTGGCCTTCACAACACCCTCTGGCAAGGAGTTCCAGAGGTTGACAGTACGTTGCGTGAAAAAATACTTTCTTGTGTTTGTTTTAAACCTGCTACCTATTGATTTCATTTGGTGGCCTCTTGTTCTTGTATTATGAGAAGGAGTAAATAACACTTCCTTATTTACTTTCTCTATACCACTCATGATTTTATAGACCTCTATCATATCTCCCCTTAGTTGCCTCTTTTCCAAGCTGAAAAGTCATAGTCTTATTAATCTCTCCTCATACGGAAGCCGTTCTATACCCCTAATCATTTTTGTTGCCCTTTTCTGAACCTTTCCCAATTCCAATATATCTTTTTTGAGATGGGGCGACCATATCTGCACTCAGTATTCAAGGTGTGGGCATACCCTGGATTTATATAGAGGCAATATGATATTTTCTTTCATCCCTTTCTTGATGATTCCCAACATTCTATTCACTTTTTTGACTGCCACTGCACATTGAGTGGATGATTTCAGAGAACTATCTACAATGACTCCAAGATCTCTTTCTTGAGTGGTAACAGCTAATTTAGACCCCATCATTTTATATGTATAGTTAGGATTATGTTTGCCACTGTGCATTACTTTGCATTTATCAACATTACATATCATCTGCCATTTTGTTGCCCCGTTACCCAGCTTTGTGAGATCCTTTTGTAGCTCTTCACAGTCTGCCTGAGACTTAACTATCTTGAGTAGTTTTGTATCACTAAATCTTTTCGATTTAGTGATACAAAATATACAAAATATACAATACATACAATACAATACAATCTTTTTCTTCACTAAATCTTTTCAATTTAAAGGAGCACTATCAAATCAAAATCTAATCAATGTTGTTGCAGTTTTATAAGCCTATTATCCTATCATTTTTTAAACAACGTTTTTCTCTCCCCTGTTGCTGTGTGAAAGATCCCTATAGAGTACGGGAGAAACTGACTGCCAACTGCCTAGCAGGGGAAATGGTGAAACTGACTATACACAAAGTGCTGCCAAATGAACTAACTGAAACAATAAAAAAGGAAAAATGTTGTTCTGTAATCTCTGTGAGCTCTATCTTGGGTTCTTCTATGGTTCCCATTACTGTACTGTCTAAGTGATTGACAGTCTTCAGCGTATGTGTCCTCACAACATCCCTGTGAAGTAGGGAAGTACTGTTAGCCCCTTTTAAAGATGAACTGAGGCACAAAGCGGCTTTCCCAAGGTCACACAGGAAGCCTGTGGGATAGCCGAGATTTGAACCCGAGCCTTTTAAATCCCAGAATAGTACCCTAATCACTGAATCAGCCCTCCTGCTAGCCTGGTAATCTTAGTGTTTACTTAGTGGCAACAGCATACTTGGAGAGCAGTGCAGTTTTTTTAAAGTTATGCTAACAACCTCTCCCTTACTGAGTGTCTTAATTGTACAGAACAAGATTGCACAAGACATTGGTGCATGACCATGAAAGTAAATGATCAATTAAATTCAAAATAGATAGTGAAGCTGAGTGCAACGTAGTCACCGCAAGCATTTATAAAAAAATTAGTGACTACTCAGTGCTTAAATTGATCATTAAAATTGTTGCAGACAGTGGGCAAAAAATGAGGCCATAAAGCCAAGCCTCACTGTCATATTTACATAAGGGTAATAGATGCCTATATAAGAAAAAGCCCCCAAAATCGGGACTGTCCCTATAAAATCGGGACATCTGGTCACCCTATCCCCTTCACCCCCACCTCCATCTTTTCGCCTCCAACTCCCCCTCCTCCCTTCCCAGCTGGGTGATTTAGGCAGCCTCTGGGAAAGTGTATGAACAAGAGTCTCTGAGTAGGCAAGTGTGTGATTCAAGTATTGTATGTGTGTCAGAGACTGCGTGTCTTTGTGTAGGGAGGTGTGTGTCTTGCCACAAGTGTGGATACCCGTGTGAATAAAATTTGCAGCCTAACTCTGACTTTTATTCCTTTTGCTGGCTTGCCCACAAAAAAAAATTGATGACATAAAATCTGTGTGTATTCGTTTCATGACGAGTTTTTAAAAGAGAAGGAAACTCTAAAAGAAATGTATTATTTCTTAAAAAGTGAATGCTGTTGACTAGTAGTTGCAGAAGAGCCAGTGTATCATACATTTCTCCCCACCTTTGTCTAGCTACATTATAAACTCTTTCTTGCAGACTCTCTCTTTTTATGTGTATGCCTAGCACCTACCACCCTGGAGTTCTGATCTTAGTTTAGTCTCTAGGCACTAAACAACAACTGTAATATTAAATAATGTGAAAGTACTGTATATGTGTTAGTGCATGCTAGATGTGTACACATGAATATGCGTATGTAGGTGTGGGAGTCAGTTTCTATATATTTATTTATATAGGTATATGGACAGGTGTGCATTTCTGTGGTTGTGCTTTACGGATTTGTATTTGGGCTTCAGGAGTGGGCCTTTAACGCAGGGCCGGCTCTAGGTTTTCTGCCGCCCCAAGCGGCAACAACAAAAAAATAAATAAATAAAGCCGTGGCAGCGCGATCGCGCCGCTCCACTCTTCAGCGGCAATTCTGTGGTAGGTCCTTCGCTCCCAGAGGGACTGAGGGACCCGCCGCCGAATTCCCGCCGAAGACCCCAGACCTGCCGCCCCAATAGCGACCGTAGTGCTGCCCCTTCCTATTGGCTGCCCCAAGCACCTGCTTCTTTAGCTGGTGCCTGGAGCTGGCCCTGCTTTAATGGACCCATTGCAGCTGTGATAATGTGTGGTCCTAATTCCACACATAAAATTACAATAACGTTAGTGAACAAAAAACATGGAGCTGGTTATGAAAAATGGGAAGAGGGGAGGAAAAGAATCATGAAAACTGTTGTGAAATTTCATTTTTTTTTAAATTACCCTTTTGGACAATTTTGCTGCCAGCTCTAGCGTCCTGTAACCTTAATGAAACCTGAACTTAGCATAATACATCTGTCAAAACAATAAATATGCCTGTTTGGGCCTTGCAGTGAAAATGAGCACATGAGAGAGAGTGCGGGAGAGTAAGTGAAGGAGGGAGGGAGGATGGAGTGAGTGGGGATGGGGCCTCGGGAAGGGGCAGGGCCTCAGGGAAGGTGCAGGGCATGGGCTGGGTAAGGGTGTTTGGTTTTCTGGAATTAGAAAGTTGGCAACCCTAATGCAGATATTTAAGATAGGGAAGAGGTGGGGATGAGTTCTGATTCGTTCTCCCACTATTGCTAACCACAGTTGCTTGAGTCCTGAAAGAACTAGGGACCAGTCCAGCTAGAAGACAAAGCAGAAGCTAGGAAATAGAGGTAGACCTTGCTAAAAAGCCTCCTTCTTCATATTTGAAAAGAAAATGTTGCCCAAACGTTATAACTAGAGCTAGATTTAGTAATGTGTCTATCACTGGGCTGAAAGATCACAGAAACCAGGTCTATGTTTTTAAGTAACGAGGTCTTTAGAACCCTTCCTCCTCTATATGATGCATTAGTTTGCACATGGAGAGCCATGCTTTACTCAGTGTACGTTCAGTGAGGCAGGGCTTCTTGGCAACCACTATTCCTCACTGAGTAAAGAGCACTGTCAACCTGGAGCCCTTCCCTTGGTGAGTGAGCATCTTGTTGGGGATGCCCTCTATGGTTATGATTAAAATCATGAGTAAATAACAAACCAGCATATCTGGCATTGCACTTTCTGATAAATATTCACAGTACCTTCCTGGTGAGTCTCCATTCTCATCGAACAAGATCACCTCCCCAGAAACCCCAGTGAAGTTAGTCTTCATGAGAGAATCCAGGAGTTTTTGACCATCTATAGGCTTCATGGCATCACAGAGACCTGCATAGCCTGGACATAGTGACATCTGCATGTTGTGAAGACCGTACGCCATAGAATATATGGCATTGATTACGAATCCCATTTTAGAATCTTGAACATGTTGCGTTTTGAGAGTCAACTGACCTGTTAGGAAACAGCACAAAGTTTAGTCATTACCATAGACAGAAACATGATGAATCTTCAAACATTTTTGCTGTGTATCCATTAGTAATATCAAAAAACCCTCTTAAGAGACACTAAGCAGTATATATATATAAAGGGAGGAGAGAACAGGTTGTCTTTCAAACATATCATGATCCTGTTGGTCTCCATCTCAATGAAGCAATAGAACCTGTGTATCCTCATTTTCAGTTATCACTCTTTCACCTTATATTTTTTGTGAGTATGTATCTATTAAATCATATTGTAATACTTCTAGGCTCCCTGGAAGTGACCACCGTCTATGAGAATCTTTCCACTGATCTCAAAGCTAGTTGATTCAGCCCTTTGTGGTTGGAGTGCCATGGAGGATGCCTATGTAATAGGAACATTATGTATCAACTTCTGTGTTTCCGGATTTATGGGGAAACCAAGGGTTCAAAAATAACTAGATAAGTTCATGGAGAATAGGTCCATCAATGGTATTAGCCAGAATGGGCAGGGATGGTGTCCCTAGCCTCTGTTTCCCAGAAGCAGGGAATGGGTGTCAGGGGATTGATCACTTGATGATTACCTGCTCTGTTCATTCCCTCTGAAGCACCTGGAATTGGCCACTGTCTGATGACAAGATACTGAGCTAGATGGACCTTTGGTCTGACCCAGTATGGCCGTTCTTATGTAAGGAATCGAGAAATCCACTACAACCCAAGATGCTACCATGGAAATGAAATCTTGAGTGGAATTGGCAAACTGATATTCTGCAAAGCAGTCTTATTAATATCATACTGCTACCTAGTCCTGTGAGATGCTAAGCAACCACAGCTCCTCTTGAAATCTATGAGAATTGTGAACACTCAGAACCTTTCAGGATTATGGCTTCTGTGAGTCACTCAAAACTGAACCTTCCTATTTCTGGTAGTAGGTCTGGAAGTTAACAGGATATGTGGAATTGGAAAGGAGCATCTAACTGTCTGTTGAGTCTGGTAACAGTGTTAAAGAGACATAAACCACTAGTTTTAGGCCTCACACGTAGATAATGGCCTAGATTATCCCTTGCACTGCAAGTGCAGAGCAACCCTAAAGCTAGCTACGTGGATCTCCAGTGGGCACAGCTGAAATAATAGTGCCTGTCTCTCCTTCCTGCAGCCCACATGGTTGATGATGAGAGGATGTGGCCAGGGCTCCCCTGGTTAACTCATCTGTCCCTGCACAAGAGACAAGTTACTAATTCAGAAAATTAATGTGATCCTTTTCTGTTAGAAAGAATGTTCAACTTTACAAAGAAAACTTTTGTAAGGAAACTTGACTCCTGTTAAATAAATAAATAAAATGTGAAAGTTGGCCAACTTTGTCATTCTGCTCAGACACATTCTATACAGGGGATTCTGTACCCACGTGGTGAAAGGTCATAACAATGAACTGACTACATTTCAGGAATGAGTATCAAACCCAAACCTTTGACTCATGAAAGACTTCAGTACCTAACACATTTAAAGAGAGTTAGGATCTGTTTAAGAAACCTGCCCAGCTCAATCAATACTTCCCCCATTTAACAAGATTTTAAATATACTAGGTAATGGCTCCTGGATCTGTTTTGCAGCCTCCTTTCGAATTAAAACCTGTGCAAGGCAGCAGGCCAAACAGTAGTTTAGAAGGATTGGAGGGCTCTGCACCAGAGGATTGCAGCCAAAACAAATACAAACCTGCTCCTCCTGGAAGGTTCCCATACAGTGAACTTGGATTTTCATCCATTTCCAGATCATAGAATCATAGGAGATTAGGGTTGGAAGAGACCTCAGGAGGTCATATAGTCCAATCCCCTGCTCAAAACAGGACCAACACCAACTAAATCATCCCAGCCAGGGCTTTGTCAAACCGGGCCTTAAAAACCTCTAAGGATAGAGATTCCACCACCTCCCTAGGTAACCGATTCCAGTGCTTCACCACCCTCCTAGTGAAATAGTGTTTTCTAATATCCAACCTAGACGTCCCCCACTGCAACTTGAGACCATTGCTTCTTGTTCTGTCATCTGCCACCACTGAGAACAGCCTAGCTCCATCCTCTTTGGAACCCCCCTTCAGGTAGTTGAAGGCTGTTATCAAATCCCCTCTCACTTTTCTCTTTTGCAGACTAAATAACCCCAGTCCCCTCAGCCTCTCCCCGTAAGTCATGTGCCCCTGCCCACTAATTATTTTCGTTGTCCTTTGCTGGACTCTCTCCAATTTGTCCACATCCGTTCTGTAGTGGGGGGACCAAAATTGGACGCAATACTCCAGGTGTGGCCTCACCAGTGCCGAATAGAGGGGAATAATCACTTCCCTCGATCTGCTGGCAATGCTCCTACTAATACAGCCCAATACGCATTGACCTTCTTGGCAACGAGGGCACACTGCTGAGTCATATGCAGCTTCTCGTCCACTGTAACCCCCAGGTCCTTTTCTGCAGAACTGCTGCTGAGCCAGTCAGTCCCCAGCCTGTAGCAGTGCATGGGATTCTTCCTTCCTAAGTGCAGGACTCTGCACTTGTCCTTGTTGAACCTCATCAGATTTCTTTTGGCCCAATCCTCCAATTTGTCTAGGTCACTCTGGACCTTATCCCTACCCTCCAGTGTATCTACCTCTACCCCAGTTTAGTGTCATCTGCAAACTTGCTTAGGGTGCAATTAATCCCATCATCCAGATCACTGATAAAGATGCTAAAGTCAAGCTATATCACATCCACTGCTTTCCCCATATCCACAGAGCCAGTTATCTGATCATAGAAGGCATTCAGGTTGGTCAGGCATGAATTGCCCTTGTTGAATCCATGTTGATTGTTCCTGATCACCTTCCCCTCCTCCGAGTGCTTCAAAATGGATCCCTTGAGGACCTGCTCCATGATTTTGCTGGGAACGAAGTGAGGCTGTAGTTCCCCGGGTTCTCTTTCTTCCCTTTTTAAAATATGGGCACTATATTTGCCTTTTTCCAATCAATTTTAAGCACACAATTAGTTCCATTGTTAACCCCCAACCTCCCAC